AATGTAGCCAAACTGATAAGAAGAGGGAAATAATGCATAGCCAGCAGCTACTGTGAGCAGCGACAATGGACCACCCAGAGATCTACAGATAGGTGATTCTCTGAAATGGGGAGGGCATGGATGGTACGACAGTTGTACCAATGCCAGCGTCTGAGAAAGTCATTCTCCTGGTACAACTGCTGCACCAGCCGGCTTCAGAAAGTTAAAATAAAAGTATGTATTTTTAATTTGTAGTTTGTATTTTATTTACACTGTTTATGTATTTATTTTTTAAAAGTAAATATCACATTCTTTGTTCATCTATAAAGATTTCCATGGTTTTACAAGCTAATTTTTTTTTTAAATTTATACCATCTCCCTTCTCCCCCCAAAAAAGATAAGTCAAATTTCCCATATCATAGCCATATATAGGGTACTGTATTTCATAAAGTTATTCATGCAGTATATAATAATACCTAGTTTCTATATTTCGTCCAACTTGTGTGTTTTTGTTTTAAAAAGCTCATTACTTATTCACAAATCAAAAATAGGAAATTTGGAATATTCTTGACTACCATTTTGAGTAGGTGATTTTTGGTACATGTTCCTCGTATACCTTAGAAAAAATAATTTTAATAAATAAAAAAAAGCATTAATCTACTTAAAATAAAAATATACTACTTTGTATGAACACCAAACTTTTAAATATGAGCTTTTCAAATGAAAAGCTTTATTTCTTCATCAGATGCAAGTTGGACCTTTTGCAGCTGGTGAAGCACGAAAGCTTTTTGTTCAAAATGTGCGTCCTGCTTGCATTTAAAAGATTGGTGTTCATTTGTAATTAATCTACTAACTTTATAGTAAATACTATTTTTAAATGCACATTTTCATAACATGTTTATCTAATTGGGATACAGGAATAAAATAGAATATGTATTGTCATGTTTGAATTTATAATTCAAAAAGAAAATTTTATCTTGGAAACGTACATTTTACAGCTGGTCTGCAAAACATGAAATCTTACTAAAGTAAAATATTTTTCTGTAATTTTATTATTAGAACTTAATTTTTCAATGTGTCTTGTCAAAGCATTTCCTTGACATGCTAAAAAACTACAGTTTCACAGACTTTTTTCCAAATATCTGTGGTTTTCATCAATTTCTTTTGAATACTGCTTATCAAGCTTAGCACAGATGGAATCCGATGATAAATTTTCAGTACAATTTACCAAACAACTTGCTGAATTTTTATGAGAAACACAAGACTCATGAGAATCTTTCATAAATTACAGGCAAAATTATAGAACTTACTTGACAATCTTGGGATGGCACAATTTTCAATTCATTATCATCCACTCTCTTTTAAATGAACTTCTTGTGGATTTTCTCCACAGAGTCCAAAGGCACATTAACATTTTCAACCATATTAGGAGTTTTTGCGAAAAAGTTCCCAGTTGTCAAACCATGTTTTTTAGAGTTCATGATTAATGAAGTTGAAGAAAAAAACACTTTTTAACATAATGGATTATTGCAGCAAAATCATGTTTGGCAGCAGCTTTTCTTAAGCAATGGGGAAAGACTCAGCCAATAAGGGTCAAGAGCCTGTTTGCCGCATTCCTTACTAGTAGCTTGGTGAAGTCGTGCACTGTGATGTCACTTCTAACAATAAAGGAAAATTTATCCTTATGATGACATCAGACAGGTGTGCATTCCTGGACTGGTAAAAAAAAGTATAATAAGCCAGGAAGAATAGCTATTGTGACTGAAGGAAGGGTGCCGGTGGAATGCTTGTTAGGCCATTGTGGTATTCTAGCGACTACGTCATATTCAGTCGTATGCTACCGAAAAGGATGGCAGGGTGGCTGGCTGAATGCTTTTGACATTTATTATTCAAATATACAACAATCTTTCAAAGTGAAAATGGAAAATAAGGAGAAGTTGAAATTTCAAAATCATTTTTTCATCTCATATTTTAAATCAATCATTTCTTCATATTAATCACCCAAAAGTTTCAGGTTGTGCCCTGTATTTCCCGCCTATGAGCACTGAAACTTACCCTGTATAAATAAACTAACGCAAAACTAGATAAAAAAAAACGTTATATTTCACATAATATTTGTTGAATTTTTGTCAGTCTCCCAAGAGTAGATTCTTGCCTTTCAGTAAGCCACAGAATTTGTGAATAAGTGAGCCACTACAATTCATGATGCATAGTTCAAACACAAAACTAAAACATTTATTTAAAGACAAGCAACTGATGAAACTCTCATCACACATAAGAGTTTTTTTGCACACTGATCAAAATATTAATCCAATGCTATTTGGCCATAATGCCATCTATGCATAAAAAAACCTTAACATTTATAGTATTTATTTTTATTGAAATGAATTACTTGAGCAATTTGCAATACCTTTTTTTTAACCTACCAAGCTATGCATTTCATAAACTTGTTACGATTTCATTTATTTTTGCTAATAGTTATTACTATGTGTTATTTTACAGTGCTCGGTGAATGTATTAACTTGTGAATTTTTTAATGTTGATGTCTGGGAAATAGATTTTTAATACAGTATTGTTTAATCCCCCCCCGCTTGAATACAGTACGGCTCTTATTAAAATAGCAGAAAATTTTGGTACAGCGAAAAGACAGGTTTCCCCCCCCTCGTTCCCACGAAGCGATCACTTTACAGTCAAGGGTCGGTGGCCAGGCGCCTTTAACTCCTCTTATCTTTCTGAGCTTAACATGTGGTTTACTTGCTTTGAAGGCTAAAATTTCTAGCAGGAGTTGCAACTTGACAGAATTATGGTTGAAAACATTCCTTGTTGTTTGCACGGACGGGAAAGTGTTATGTCACTTTAAAAATAGGGGTCTGATTTTCTTCGAATTTTGGAGGTCAATTATTGCCTTTGTTCTAATTGGTTTGTGTTGGATCAGATAGATATAATCTCATAGATATTTTGAGCCAATGGTGAATATAGAGGTAGTTTGTATTTTGAGCATCACTGAGGTTTTAAAAATAGCCTCTAGGGCCGACAACGACCTGCGAGTTTAGTTTTCAAGCAACCAAAGAATGGGGTGTGGTACTAGTACAGGAAATTTCTTGTTTGCTCAAAATGCTGGAAAAAAATAGCAACATTCTGTCTGACAATTTTGCAAACCAACGACGCTCAATTATAATCTTGCAACCATCTTAAGGACGATCATTTCTAATTTTGTTAACATCTTAAGAATGATCATTTTTAATTTTGTGAATACCATAAGGACGATTATTTCTTTGAGATTCTTGAAGGTGGTGTATTTGGGCCTGCAACATGCACAAATTTCCCATGAGAGAAAAACTCAACACATTACCACCAGCTAAGATTCCACTGAAGAAAGGAAAGAATGATCATTTATCGTACTGTTTTACCTTATTAATCTCGAGGAATGAACGAGCAGCCCAAGCGTATCAGTTCTAGGACCCTCTTTATGTAGATTTGGAAACCACAGTCCTCAGCGGGTGAGATTCCTCAGTCACATTTATGGACCCTTGTTTTCTGAAATCTGGGAGCGATTTATTTTCATTTGCTTTTTTCTTTAATAATTAATTATTATGATTTTGGAATGTTAATTTCTAAAGTATGAGCAGTCATTTTTATGTTAGATGAAAATCTGGATTGTTGCTGGAAGAACGTAACTAATAATTTGGATACAATATTGATCGTTGCTCCGAATGTCAAATGTAAAATTCTGAATAAATTTTAGATAATGTTTTGTAGGGGTAGTCTAGGCAGCTATGAAAAATTATAATTTTTATGGATAAATGTTTTTATTGATTTATTATTGTATATTTTGAGTTCTTCTAGTGGTCTACTGTAGGTCACCCATGTGATCCTTGTTCAAAACCTGGTTATTTCCTTTTCAATTCGAACCTGAGTAACTTAGCAGCTAGTAGGGAAATCAATTTTAAGTTTGTTGTAATTATAAGATTGAATTAATCTATCTGAGCTTGGTGTTTTGATTTCTTACTTATAGGCTTTATTCTTCCCAGGTGTTTTGAGGTGCTCTGTGTTATATTTAAATGGAAAGTGTTTGTGGCTATCTCAAAAGCTGTACTGAAATTTATGTGTTTTCAGGAAAGTCAGTGGACTTAATTTTAGTGAGAGAGAGCATTTTTGATGAATTTATTACTGAAATGCATTTTCACATTTTGCATTTTGTTTGAAAATTACTCTTTTTGGATTTTTGTTATATTTTTTTTTTCCTGCCTGGCACCAGAGAGAAAGTTGTAAGTAAACAGGCAGTTTAAAAGAAAATAATATTAACAGCTTTAAATGTAACATTATTTTAATTTGTTGTCCTTTTCTGTCTACCTTTATTCCCCTCGTGTTTCCTCACCAGGATGTATATTAGTTAGAATGAACGGGTGTATTTAAACTGATGTAGCAAAAACATTAGTCAGAGCGTGGTTTCACTGTCTTGAGCACACGTTGTTAATTCTTCCAGCTGTTAACTTGAACATTGGCTTCGCATTCTTGCCGCCGAATTGTTATCCTGCCAGTGTAAGTTCGGAGTCAATCTGTTAAATTAAGCTAAATTGTGTAGTTTTGCACAACTCTTACCTTTAAATTTAGTGTTACATTATCTTTTAAGTTTTGCACCACAAATGGTTGTTGACTGTAAGCACGTACGTATATGCTGTCTGTAAAGTATTGTGTTAAATAAAAGGATCCTTTACACCCTTCCCCTGTTTTGTTCATCTTCAAGTCTTAGCAAGAAGTTGTAACACTTGAGTAGATCTAGCTACATTGTATATAGCCAAAAGATCTAGATCCCACAACATAACATGTTTTTAATAAGTATAAGAATGCAACTTTATCCCATATGTCAATGCACATAATTCAAAAAAAGGAAAAATGTTAAAAAAAAACTGGCAAAATATCAGTATATATTCCCTTCCCTCAAAAAATTTCAAGAATTAGACAATTTTTTTACTTTCACAAAATATGCATCGGAATTTAATGCAAGAGGGATGACTTACATCTAAATGGCCAAGATATCGCTCCACACTTCGTGATGTAAACAGAATTTTTCCACTTGGTGTAGTTACAATTAAAAAACCATCAACTGACTATATAAAAGAAATATTCGGTATCAAAATGACATATTTAAATGTAGTTAATTTACTAATAAAAACAACTAATCTAAAAATATTTAAAACTGAAAGACACTTGCCTCAAGAATATCACGAACTTGCTCATCAGATAAAAAACTTGGACACCATTTGAAAGATGTTTTCAGCTTCATACTTCCTCCTAATGGGCCTTTTAAAAGAGAAACATTTTCATATAAATGTCGAGAGTTAAATATACTCGATTATCAAGATTTAAAAACCATGTCTTGTAATAAAATTATTCATGCAACAATTTTGACAAGGATAAGAATACAATAACTTAAAAAATATTTCTATTGTAATAATCCCACACTACTATACATTTTTTGTGTTTCACAAACCTATTCAGGGCTTCAGTAGTTATTTGCTGCGAATGTTATTCTTACGTAAACATAAAAACATGCAAGGAGGTTAAAACTGCAGAATGAAATATTTCAATTTCTCAAAATTTTCTATGGAAGATGTTACATTATGCACAATTATACATGTCACTTTCTTCTAGTTTTCAAAAGTTAATTTTAAGTTGTAGAGTCATTAGGATCTTTGATAGCTGGAAATGAGCAATGCCCTCCGCAGAATTTGAACCTGGACCTCTCGAATGCGTACGAAGTGTGTTACTATTATACCACGAAGGCATAAAGAAAGGAGGGAGATAATAACTTATATACTCCCCCTTTTAAAGGGCGACTGGGGATTAGGGAAGTCCTGGAGTAAGTGCTGAAGGCAAAGAATCATCATCCACCACAAATGATATTAGCAAAATCAACAATAAATTTGTGCAGTGCCATGTTTCTTTATTAATCGCTAATTTAATTTCTGATATTATGCATATAAAATTTTGATAGATTCCAAAGTCCACTGCTGGCTTGTTGTCAGAGCAACAATTACATAAAATTACCAATAATTCCGTTTCTGGTAATTGCTATCCCGGTTATGTTACTTTTTAAACAGATAATGGTTATCAGAATACACTAAGGTGAAAATAATCTAAAACACAATGCTAATATTTTTATTTAATTATTCTCCCTAACATTTTTTCTCTCAAGTTAATTTTACTTCAGGCAGTATCTTGCATTCCTGTCTGATCCCACTGTTCACAACAGTTGTGATTCACCAGGAAAATTTGCTATTCATTTCAGGGTACTACTTTTATTCGGTCCTTGAATGGTGTGCGTAACTGCCGAAGGAACCTGTTTTGCATTGCAATAGATATTGAGCTTTTTTAATCAGTGGAAGAATTTTACGAGGATTTTGTTTTTGGTGCAGTGAACCTTCAGCCTGTTACTTGGTTAGTATTTCTTACTTAGTTGTCTCAATTTTCTGTGAAACTGCTTCAAAATTAATTTCCTATCCTTAAGCAAGTCAGGCATTTTTATGCAGTTGCTGCACAGATTTAGCAACCATTCACAATGATATGTTTAATGAACACTTTTCCCACATGAAACTCTTTCATAATAATTTCTTGGTAATCCTAGGTAAAGATCATAATTTATTTCACCAATGGTTGTGGATGCTGAAATATTTGGGGTCAAAATGTTTACTTCCCATTTTATGAAATACTGTTATTCCTGATAGAGATATTTCACCTTAATCATCAGATCTTCATATCAATAATGTTGCATCAAGCAATGAGGGATCAACAGAACACAAATGTCTTTCTTCTCTAAAGTTTTTATCAAAACAGGCATATTGATATTGGTGAAATCTCTATCTTGTGATATTTTCTTGTATTTTTCGATTTCTTGCTTGATGATCTTTCTTTCTACCTCGCACTAGGTTAGAGGCATTTTGCTACATGACATATCTAAAATTTTTCATCTCTTAGTACTGCTGCTCTGCAGCTGCCCCAGCTCTAATGCCAGCATTACACTTCTATTAATGTGTTGATATTTTTTGTCTTCCTAATTTTCGATCCTCATGTACGTCTGACACGTCCTTCATAAAAGCCTAGTATCCAAATGAAATGTTATACAACGATCTACTGCTTGATCACTATAAATTTCAGGTAATAAGGTGAAATTTTGCTCCCATAAACGTTTATTCCGATCTTTTATTTTCCAAAATATCATCTACTTACAGACTCCATTTCAAACTCAATTTGAAATTTATTTTCTGTATACACAGGTTAGGTAACCCAATGGAAAATTATACTATGTAACCGTTAGGCTGAAAATAATTTATTTTAAACTTTTTTCCGAGTTATTTTACTATAAAATTCAAGTTGCAACGTTTCATTTGACCGCCTTTATGGGTCTAACATTTAGAATATGATTGATCCCTACACCTATTTGGCAAGAGTTTAGGAACTAAACTATTGTGCAGATATCTGCCATGTTATAAAAGACCTCCACATCGAACATCTGTGTATGCCCATAGAAATATGAACAGTTTATGTGTTAATCTTATAACTGTATTTGTGAAATACATTCATTATACTAGTGACAGATAGGCCTTTCTTTCAGTTTTGATTTGCCATGCATTTGAAAAACAGCTCAGAATTAAACAGCTATGTTGAAGAGTTCGGATGGTAGACAGAGAGAATATGTGCTCGATGAACTGTTTATATAGCCAGACATGCACGAGAAGAACAGTATCAACATAATATTAATTTTTTTGTGTTTTGTAATAATATATGTATATGTTGTAGAGACATTAGCTTATTTTTAATATGAGAGACATGAAAAATGAGCAATGCCCTAACTGGGAGTCGAACCACAGACCTCTCGAATACGTGCTGAGTGTGTGTATTATCGCCCTGTATTATATTTAAAGAAATTAAATAAGGAAGAATCTGCATAAATGTATGTATGCTTCTCGCATTGTGATAAAACAACGTACCTAGAGTCATCGAATTTTGAATGATATAATCCTCCTACGAATATGGCCATTTGGAAGATCAAATCTGAAATTTGGAATTTGTTTTATTATCGCATTCATATTTTGTAAAACTTCAACGAATTTTTTATTAACAAACTCAAGGATTTCAAAGCGAGCAACGGCAACACTCTACGGGAGGGACCTTTTTATCTCCAGCGTGCAGAACTGTGCATCGAAAATTCTAAAGATATGCTCATTTTTAAATTATTTTGCGACATTGCTATTTTAACTGAATTTTATGGTTTAAGTGCAAGAAACATTATATTTAACAAATAAAAGTAGCATACAAAACGTTAAAAAAAGTCCCTTTAGACGTAATTTAAAATCTGAAACCTTTCAGATTTTTTCTCCCACTTTATTTGAAAGGCAACTAAAAATTTTGAATGTACGTCAAGGAAAATGGGTAGTGTACCTCTTAGATTTGTTATCTAATAACACAGCAAAACTAAGGCTAAAGAATCAGCTAGTGATGCCTAAGATTATGACAGTGTTCGTACACATTTCTGCACATGGAAATTAAGTACTTTTAAGGACTTTTAAGGACCTATGAGCAAATGGAAACTGAATAAATTCAATTGAAAATATTATCTATGCCTGAATTTCCCTTTCGCAATACCATCCTAAAAATAAAATAGATGCCTAAGTAGTACGCATTATTGCTAAACGTGAATTAATTAACATAATTGTTAATAAGTTTGAAAATAAAATAAACTTTATGCAATTTATCAAGTAGCATTAAATATTTTACACTTATAATTGTCGGTCATATTTGAAAGAAGATAAGTGACATTTATGTTTTACTAAAAGTTACTTTACGTCGATTTTTGCTACGTCTCATTTTGTCACACACTTGGTCAGTCTAGAAGTTTAGTAAATAGCAGGTAGATTTTATGTCAAACTGCATAGGTTAAAATGAGAAGTAAAGATCATAATCAGTATGATTCATAACAAAAGACTGGAATGTTGTCACCGCCTGCTGCTTGCCTAGAGAGACAGACCTGCTGATCAGAACAAAGCTGAAAGGCCTGATGTAGGCATGGTTGGCAAGTGTTGAAAAGTTAGTTCAGGCCCTGTTTAACATGCAGTTAGCGTCGTAGCTTCATGTACAGTTCCAGGGGTTATAACCCAGTTAATATAATTTAAGGTTCCAATAAGCCATTAAAGCACCAGAGGTGCATAAGTTGTTTTGTATTATTTTAGGTCTCACTATATGCGAAGAATAAATTTTACATGAATTTTGATACATTTTTATCTTATCTTGGACCAAAGGTGAGGTATTAATGAAAGGCAATAACTTGCTTTAATATGTAGAGATAATTTTTAAGGGTAAGCAGTTAGTTATAAATAATTAAATTAGGTAGTTTGATAACCATTATGGATTTACATGACCACTATTAAATTTTATTTTTTAACAATATTTATTAAAAAAGCCCTATTTAAATCAAAATCTAATAAAATTTCACAGTTTAAAGTATATGTAATTAAAGTATAAGTTTAAAGTTTCTTAAACAATATTAAGATAATTACGCATTAAAAGCTACAGAACATTTATGTTTTGTAACAACAACAGTCAACAAAATATTTATCCGTCATTTTAATTTGAAGCCTTCCCAGACATTTTGGCTAGTTTATATCGATTTCCTTCTCTTTAAGCATCTTTTCTAACAATTATATGAGGGCTATCCAGAAAGTAGATTACGTTTTGGAATAAAAAAATAAAGTATAGGAAACAAATTTTATTATATACAGATGAAAGCCACACTCAAATACTACTTTTCTACATAGTCACCATACAAATTAAGGCATTTATCGTAGCGATGTACGAGCTTGGAAATTCCTTCGTCGAAAAATTCGGCCGCCTGCGCCTTCAACCACTTCGTTACCTGTTCTTGCAGCTGTGCGTCGTCATCAAAACGCATTGATCGCAATTTCGTTTCACAGTTCACATGTTTCACCCATGTTTCGTCACCAGTAAACGATGCGATCGAGTAAAGAGTCACCATCCTTATGGTAAGCGTCCAAAAAGTTCAACGCTGCAGCCATTCGCTGATTTTTGTGGTCCTCTGTCAAGATTTTTGGAATCCATCTTGCACAAAAACTTGTGGTAACCAAGCTTTTCGCTGATGATTTCGTGCAACAAACTTCGCGAAATTTGTGGAAAACTCAAAGAAAGTTCCGTTATTGTGAAATTTCGATTTTCACGGACTTTAGCATCGACTTTTTCGAGAAGTTCGGCGGTCACTATGCTGGGTCTCCCACTTCGATCTTCGTCGT